CAGTTGAAAGTTCAGTTTTGGTGAGTGTCATGTAAAAACAGATTTACGGCATTAGAAGAAAGCTCGGATAAAAACAGCAATTTCTTTGTAAGCATTACGCAAAGTACACTGCCAGATGCTACGCGTTTATAATTCACATACGCGAACAATTTTGTTTAATTCTAATATTTCATTTATCTAGCAATTCTTTATATACAGACTCTCTTAAAGAATTACAGTCAGCCTATTTCCAGCGATCCTCTGTGTTTGGTATATTCTTTTATTATGGCTATCTCCAGTGTGGTGTCGTCGTATTCATAGGTTCTCACTCATCTCCTGATAGGGGGACCATTATCGCACGCTCAGAATCTCTCTACAGCAATTTGTTTTTAAGAGGGAGGGGCAGGATAGCCTATGCGATCCAGGCATCATAAGCCTACTCTGCAAAATCATTCAATATTTTATTTTTCGAGTACATTTTCGTTCACGAAGATATCAGAGAATAATATTGAGTAATGACTTCGTAGGAGGAATATCATCAAAATGGTATATTGTCAATAATCGTAAATGTGATAATCAGCGGCATGCTGATAACCTTGAGACAAAGACGTCGAATATAATCTGCAATAGGACCATTATACGGAATTCATCGATTCCACATATTATCAGAAAGTAAATGGACATCCCCCATTTGTAACAGCTGTGAATAACCAGAGATACCGAGTAGAGTCGGAGAGTGATGTTCTAACTAAGTTTCGAAATTTAAGCTCGAATCACACCATCAACATAAAAACTTAGTTTCTATATCTTCTTCCGGACCACGCACCTCCTGCGAATCACAATGAAGAAGATCATGATTTTGTTACTGATATCATTGGTATTACTAAAATACTTCAAAGAAGTACGTTCTTTCAGCCATCGCAGCCACACTCCCAAAAAAAGCAACAAACGTGGACGAGATATATTACATCATGCGGCGAGCGTTGACCAAAAGGAACGAGCGAGAAAGGGAAGGAAAGCTCACAGAGAACGAAAGCTAAGGAGAATTTTCTGTAATTATCTAAGAGCACATTTAGACACACATTGAAGAAGGAAACGACGCTGGGTATCGCAGCTTAAGAGGACCAGACCACAGACTAGCCATCACCGACATGCACGCAGAGAGAGAGCAGGAGAGAAAATATACAATGAAAATAAAACTAAACACTCGCATTTCGTGAAAGAGGAACCAGCACATTACCGCGCCTAAGCTGGGTCAGGACTATCATTTTATACCAATTCCCCTGTCTAATGCCACTCTAAGTTATGGTTTTGTCAAACTAACTGAACGCTGCATGGAGGTGTCTCACCCGCACTGAGTGCACATGACAAATTAAAGTACCTCTTTGCGTGCAAACTGGGATCAAGTCAGGAGCTAGTCAGGTTTCAGAACTATCACTCATGGCCGCTATCGCGTTTTTGGATATTTTGTTATTACCGTGCAGAAAGGCGGGACACTTGATATACTCCAAGCATTTGTACCTCATCTTGCAGCATGTCAGACTCTCACTTTTTAAATAACAATTTCTAGATCCTCCCCATCGATTTTTTTGCGACCCTGTGGCCGATGAACAAGTAAACCGAATAGCCTTAATGATGCTCGAAGCTAAGTTTTTAGAGGAAAGCTGAAATTAAAAACTACACGATAACAAAAGTGTCATACATTGAGACTCACGAGGAGCAACAACTTTATGGAAGCGCGCATACGCTTGTTTCGTATAACGTATTTAAGACCCCAAGCACTTGCATCATAGTATGAAGGCATCGTGCACGGGAGACAAAATGGGAGACCAAAATCTGGGTGCCGTGCCAAAATGTAATCCCGCCGGCCTACTGCGTCAGTAGAAGGCCCGTCCGTACCACAAGTTAGTTAGATAATGCCCATGAGAAAGACGAAAGGCAATCAAATATTGTCGAGGCAACGAGCAAATTAGCTGTGACCGTTCGTTGAATTTCCTCTATATATATATAGTGTGCCTCTCTAGCGAACACACACCTACGTGCTGCGAGATGACAATGAAAATGACATTTACGATCGTTTTAAATTCTATACATTTTTGTATGAAACCCATACGAATCTTTTCAAACCACATAAAACTTGGTTTCTTCCGAATCCTCCTAATCAAACAAAATCCCTAACAAGCTCGTCGACAAGACTCCAAAAGGACAGCGATCGCGCCAAGACGAGCGAGAAGGGAAAAAGGAAGGAAAGGAAGGCAGGACTCGAACTTGCTGCCGTTCCACGGGTCTCTTCGAAGGCCCCTCCTCCCCCCGGAACCCCCGCCCCAACCCCCACCCTCTCCGGCCGACTTCCCCGCACACTCTTCCAAGGAGGGCAAAATTCTCGGCCGCTATTTCTCGTGCGGGCGGGGCCATCTCCTTTTCCTTGACTACCTTAAGACCCTTTTGGCCCACTTCCCGGCCCCCATGCTAGAGCATTCGACAAGGGTTCACTGGCCGACAAGCCAAGCAACTTCATCCTGCCGTCGCAACCCACGCCTTTCTTCGCCGCCCTCTGCCCAAAGATCTTTGGCTTTCCGGGCTTATTTTCATCATTTTTTCTTAGTTTCCTGCATCTTTATTCGTCTTGGAGTTGTAGATATTTTTAATTCTTTTTCTTCTTTTTTCTTTTTCTTTGTTTTCTTTTTTTTTTCTTCTTCTTTCTTCGTTTCCTTCAGGGAAATATATTTCTGTTCCTCTTTTTTCGTCTCGGCAATCCGGGAACAGCAAATTAATTTAGGCTCTTTTTTATATAATCATTTCACCTAATGATGAACTATATCTAAACCCCATAGAACATAAGACGCCGGAACTAACACGACCCTGTAACTCCCACAGGACGGGGAGATTCGAACACCCACCACGAGAAACCTGCGAAGAAAAGTTTGGACTCCGCACGCCATGGGAACGGCCATTTGCCTTAATTAGTTTTTGAAACGAAATACGGGAAAAAAGGTGGACATTTATAAATGAGCTCGCGTCACGAGAGGGAAATGGGCCTACTATGCGTATTCTCTCGAAATTCGTTCATACACACGAGAGATGTTTGGTTGTTGACCTTTCCGTCGAAGATTAAACGTCAAAAAATGGAAACGATTTTAACCAGATGTTCCCGCACCCATGTCCCTGCATTGCCGTTCATTCTAGAAGCCTCGTCACTTCAGCATTAAAACCTTATCACCCTCACTCTCCTCTTCCCCCATCACCTCTCCCTCATCCTTCCTTTACCCTCGAAATCTTCCCCTTGTCCTAGTTTTGATCTTCTTCCTCCTTATCCTCATCATGTTTCCTTATCTTTTTTTTTTTTACCCTCTTCTTGCTTTCACTCCTTACCTTCATCCTTATCCTCATCCCTACTCCTTATTCTCAACGCCCTACGTTTATCCTAACCTCATCCCTTTCGTTACCTTCAAATCTCTCCTTACCCTGGTCCTCATCCTTCTTCTTACCCTCTTCACCTCTCCTTCATTCGCCTCTTTACCTTCTTACCTCTCCTTATTTTTGCCTCTTTACCCTCTCCACCTCTCCTTATTCGTTCGCTTCTTTACGCTCTCCACCTCTCCTTCATTCCCGTCCTTACACTCTCCTTCTTTCCCTCCTTAACCTCACCACCTCTCCTCCACTCATTTCCTTACCCTCACCTCTTTCCTCCCTCCATCCTTTCTCCTCAACCCTAACCTAACCCCCAACCACCTTTATTCGCCCCCTCTCGTTTCTCACTCCCTCGCCCCTCTCATTCCCCTCGCCCCTCTCACTCCCCCTCGCTCATCCTCTCCTCTCACTCCCCTCGCCCCTCGCCCCTCTCATTCCCCTTCGCCCCCTCTCACTCCCCTCGCCCCTCTCACTCCCCTCGCCCCCTCTCATCCCTCGCCCTCTCACTCCCCTCGCCCCTCTCATTCCCCTCGCCCCTCTCACTCCCTTCGCCCTCTCACTCCCCCCTCGCCCCTCTCACTCC